CGGGGGGATGGGTGGGGGGGGGGGGGAGGAAGCGGTGAGACTTGTTTGTGCATGTTCGTGTGTTCACGTGCCTTGCAGCCCCCCTCTTGGCAAGCTTGGGGGGTGGGATTTCCAGGGAAATACTCGGCCCCGCCCCCGACGCAGTGGAGAACGGGGGCTGGGGGTGCCTGTGGGGAGGTCGGAGGGGAGGGCGTTGAGGCTAAGGGCTTGGTCCAGCCAGGCGGCACGATGGCTCAGGAGACACGGGGAGGCTTCTCGGCTGGCCTGTGGGGAAGGGACAGGCTCCCCGCTCCTGGCTGCTCTAAACACCACTGTGTGTGAACGGTTCCCCAAACGCCCCCCGGCACGGCAGGAGCAAACCTTGTGCGCCCCTGCCAGGCTGCTGAGGGCAGAGGGCTGGCTACCGCAGTGCCCAGGCGCGATGCAGAGAAAGGAGGGTGCTGCAGAGGTGGCTGGGGGTTGGAAGGGGTCCCAGGTGAGGAGGCTGAAGACGGGGACGTCTCAGGAAAGAGGAGACTCGGGGGTAGGGGAGGTCTGTGAAGTCCCGACTGGTGTGGGGGCAGCGAATAAGGAAAAGTGATTGGCTTGTTCCCACAGTGCGAGAACGAGGGGTTGCCAAGGGCGTATCTAGGCTACGCTAGCTTTCGAAAGAGGATATGCAAATTGCGCGGGCTTAAAAGAATGAGGTTTACACGGCTTGTCGACAAACGGGAGGGTTCGCCGACAAAACCGCGTCTTAATTACTTTCACTTTCGAAAGTGAGCTCGAAAGAAGATACGCGAATTCCCGCGCAATTTGCATATCCTCTTTCGAAAGTGTAGTGTAGTCTAGATACACCCCAAATGAGATTAATAGGCAGCAGGTTTAAAACAAACAAAAGGACGTTTTTCTTCACTCAGTGCACAGTCAACCTGTGGAACTCCTCGCCAGAGGATGCGGTGAAGGCTAGAACTTTAACAGGATTCAAAGAAGAGCTAGATAGTTTCATGGAAGTTAGGTCCATTAATGGCTATTAGCCAGGATGGGTAGGATGAGGAGCAGGGCCGTGGGAGGGATTGCTTGAGGTGGGGCCGGCGGGGGTAGGGAGCGGTGCCGTGGGGAGGGAATCCCTCGGCGACTGAGAATCCAGTGCAGGCTGTCCTTCCGGAGCCCAGTCCGTGGGGACAATGTCTGAGTTACCAGCGCTCTCGCTGGCTTGCCAGCTCCTCCCTCCTGGTGCTGGTCTGGGTAGATGTCCCGCCACCGCCTGATGGCGTCGGATGCCCTGAGTCACCGCGTTGCGTACTGTAGCGCTGGCCAATTCCCCAGCTGCTCCGCGCTTGCTGGTTGCTGGGCTCCCATGTCCCCAGGGCTCCGCCTGTCAGTGTTTGACCCTCGTAGCCCCGGGCTCTCTGGTGTCTGCTCGAGGGGAGTGGTTCTCTGGCTGTCGAGCGGACGGCAGCGTCCTGTTCTCGTTCCACAGGGTGCGTGGCTGGGGCTGCTGGGTACCGTCGCTCCGGTCTCCATGGCGCTCCCGGACTGTAATGCCGCACCGGCTCCTGGGGACATCTGACCTGGGTTCTAGTCCCCGGATCCTTTCGGGCTGTAGCAAGGATGCCTGCGTGGCGCCGGCCTGGCATGGCTGCTGGCACTGGATTGTGCCCTTGGAGCACTGCTCTCTGTCCCCCAGGGTGTCCAGGCTTTGCCGAGAGAGGAACAAGTTGCAGCCATCTTCCTCTGTTGTGGGCGGGGCAAGAGCCGGTGCCCCCTTCCATGGGGTCAGAGCCCGGCCGCGCCAGGTTGGGCGTGGGTAGCGAGAGAGGCTGAGGCTGAGCTAGCGATGTGGACGTGCTAAGGTGGGGCAGCCTCCCTCAGTGAGAGCCACACCCATGTTCCCATCCCCCGCCGGGCACCGGTGCAGTGCCTGGGGAAACTGAGGCACACGGGGTTCCACCCGAACAGCCCAGTAGGACTCCCACACAGCATAGCAAAGCAAACAGGGCGAACGGGGTAGCGAGAGAGGCTGAGGCTGAGCTAGCGATGTGGACGTGCTAAGGTGGGGCAGCCTCCCTCAGTGAGAGCCACACCCATGTTCCCATCCCCCGCCGGGCACCGGTGCAGTGCCTGGGGAAACTGAGGCACACGGGGTTCCACCCGAACAGCCCAGTAGGACTCCCACACAGCATAGCAAAGCAAACAGGGCGAACGTCTCCGGCGGGCAGGCTGGAAAGTGGGGCGCGGGCGGGCGGAGCGGCCAGGCCTCCGGGCGTGGGCTGTGACGCAGGCGGCCGTTTGGC